CCCCCCCCCCCCCCCCCCCCTCAGCAGTCCACCTGCCCACTCAATAATATGAAAATTCATACATAATTAAGTAGAGAGAGGGAGTGAGAGAAAATGGGAAAGGTTCAGAACAATCAGTCCCCTACAATGAACCATATTGAATTTGCCTCATATTTATAATATTTCTTATGATTATGTGAAAACTCTTTCATTTCAATCTGGGTATGGCAACATGTAAATTATATATGGGATTGTCTATAATGTTAATGTATGCACTGTTTCAGGTATGAATGCAGCGGTTAGAGCAGTGGTGAGAATGGGAATATATGTTGGCTGTAGAGTCTACTGCATTAGAGAGGTGAGTTTACTGCTAACAATGATTTTATCATTCTGAGATGGATTGCTCCATGCATTATATTAAAACAACCATACATTCAAAGTTACAATAATAGTTTCTTCAAACAACAATTCCAGTTCAGAGTTATTAACGCTTTGATACTGATACTTCTTTTTGTAAGGAGTATGATAAGGTTATTTAGGTGTAAAGCTGAGGGACTGTGGAAGTATTCTATTCACACATACTTGAATGAAGTCAAAAATTGAAGATGTGCTGGCATGCATTAGGTGTGTGTGAAAGTTATCTTCCAGAGTTTCTCAGTGGAAAGTCAAAGAAATAAACATGAACAATGTTATTTTGACTAGTAATCTGTAATAAAAATCTAAGTGAAATTCAATAAAGCAACTATTCTGATTTTGGAACTGGACGGTATTTGAGTTGTCTCTTATAACTACTCCGACATCACGCATTGATAGGAGTAAGGGTCAAATAGTGCCCCTAAGTAGGCCTGAACATTTGACACACACATTTGGAGATACTCCCTGTACTGCTTTTTTATATCACTTCTTAAGATTTTTTCCATATTTGATTGTTATATCATTAGTATATAATAGTAAAAATAATCAGACAAATGGAATAGCATGCAAATATAACACATTAAGTGTGTGTGTTTCACTGACATGCCTGAAATGCTCACTTAAATGTTTATTTTGTGGACTGACAAGTTATTGATTTTCACTTGCCCTAGGCAGTATACTATCTGGGGTAGCGCTAGCAATTTTTTTCGCTTAGCCAAATCACCACTTTTTTGTCAATTTGTAATGAAAATGGTTACAATTTGACTAACACGAGTTAAATCAAGCCCGCGTTCTTTAGCCAATTAAGGCCAGTTTTAGCATTTGGCTAAAATGGTGAGTGTTAGCACTACTCCCAGACTGTATTATTTCTGTTCCTCAGGGTTATCAAGGTATGGTAGATGGTGGAGATAACATAGTGGAAGCGTCCTGGGCCAGTGTGTCTGGAATATTACAGCAGGTAATGTACTTCATATTATAAACCAGACATAAGCTTTTTCCGTGGAAATGCAGTATTCCAAGTTTTTTTAATTCCATTCCTAAGGCAGCCCTGAGACCAACGGCAGGTTAGGTGTTGGGTCCCATCATAAATGTTCAAAAAAAAAAAAAAAAATTAAGCTGGTAAACAAGCTTTAGGGTGATAAACAGATAGAGGGAGAAGGGATGGACCCTTTTTTGTTACTTCTGGCCTCTCCTCTTTGATATCAAGAATAACCAATATTATAGAAATTTAGATAAGGTTTTAAAAGAAAAAAAATACTATCCAAAAACAACTCATTTAAGGATTCGGGGACTTAAAGACTTGCAACCCAGGTTAATTAAGTTTTTTTTCCCCATCTGCACATATACTTCATGTTTCCAGTTGATTAACCTCAAAATCAAAGACACATGTTAGGCTGTCAATTTTTTTTTTTTTTTTTGCTATTTTAATTATTTTGATCTTGTAGTCTAGGCTTTTAGACCTTTGCTGTGTAAAAAGTTTTGTCTGCTGATGACACCGGGCTCGTTTCCACTTTCAGGGTGGAACCACGATAGGCAGTGCTCGTTGCAAGGATTTCCGTGAGAAAGAAGGTCGCCTGAAAGCTGCGTTTAACCTTATTCAGCGTGAGATTACCAACATTGTGTGTATTGGAGGAGATGGTAGCCTCACTGGGGCCAACTGCTTCAGAAATGAGTGGCCTGAACTGTTGCAGGATCTGGTCTCTCAGGGTAGGGAGTTTATGTATAAGGAAATTAGACTGGACAGAATTGATAAGTTGGTAAACAAGCTTCAGGTTGAATGACCCTTAGTTTGAAAAAATACATTTTTTTCACACTTTCAGTATTAATTTATCAATTAAATTTTTGTTTCTAATAACTGTTGAGTTTGTTTCAAAGGCTATGCATATGTGTGTAAAGATAATTATATAAAAGTTTTTCAAACATCTCGCTTTTCTAACATTTATTTTTTCAAAATTCATCATTTGCAGGCACTCACAACATGAAGTTTTCATATTTTGATTGAGAAAGCCTAATTGTAGTAAGAGACTAGAAAACCCCTGAAACACTGGTGGAATGAAAAATTGATTTTAACAATTTATTTAAGTTATTTCTGTTGAATTAATTGATAATTTTTTTTTCTTTCTACATTTCAGGTAAATTTTTTTAATAGTTTTATTTTTAATGTGAATGATTTATTTTTTATTTATTATATTTTTCTTGCTTCATTTCATATAAAAGTTTTATTCTTATTCTTATTCTTATTATTATTATATTAGGTAAGATAACAAAGCAGCAGGCAGACAAGTGCCAACACCTACATATAGTGGGTATGGTAGGCTCTATTGACAATGACTTCTGTGGTACTGACATGACTATAGGGACGGACTCCGCCCTGCATAGGATTATTGAGGCTGTGGACGCCATCACTACCACAGCACAAAGGTGGGGTTTGAAATGTCCTCATTGGTTTGTTAATGATATCAGAAATCTCTTGTCTGAATCTTTTTATTTATTTGTTTATTTATTTTTTGAGATGCTCACTGTGGCTTATGAGAACTATTGAAGCTGTTGGTTGAATAGAACTAATCAGTNAAGGATTGTAAGATTCAGGATATAGTAAAAGCACTTGATAGAAAAACTTATTTTGAGTGAAGAAAAGTTATTACAGAAAGGACAATACAGGACATGTACAAATTGAAAGAATATTTATTGTTATCTTTAGAAGGTATCAACCAACTGTGGCCAAGAGCACGAAAAGATTCATTTTTGTTTGTTATAAGATATTTTAGACCCTGTTCAGTTATTATTTGACAATTGACCAATTCATGATTTGTTTATGCATAGTACTGTGTTTTGAAATGGACATCATTAAAATGGGTATTTCCAAGTTTGACCACAAAAGTTTTGCAGAAATATATTACAATGCATCAATGACAACATATCTATCATCACTCCCATAAAAGGAACCTGATCAAAGTATTCCTCTTTTTGTTTTCAGTATGAGATTGAAAGATTGATAAATATTGGCTTGCCAGTAAATGGGATCAAACCGTTTGTATCATTATAAAGTTGTTGTCTAGGGTAAGGAAAAAAATGACATTTAAGCAAGAATCTTATAACTTATTTGTGGTGAAACTTGAACACTCCTAGCAGTCCCTTCAGTCAAGTCAATTACTCCCGTTTGCCAAGCAAACTATGTTTTATACGATACTAGGTTTGTATGTGTAGAATACAAAGTGCACTATATGTATGAGAACACTATTGGTGCATAAACATTTCCAAATCAAAAGGATTTGTATAACTGGGGCGTCTCGATAGTCCGAAGGTTCATTGGTCCGAAAAACGGTAATATTTTCTCCAGTTTTTCAGTCAAGGGTTCATTGGTCCGAAGGTTCCAAAGTGAACATTCGGACCAATAAACTTTCGGACTATTGAACCTTTGGACTATTGCTACAGCCCCTGTATAACTACTGGTAAACTGATGTATTGTTATTTTTGAATATACTAGAGCATTCTTTGAAGTAGTATCATAAAAATAAAACTCAATTTTTGGTTGACTTTTGTTAATAGTTTTTCATTTTCCTTTTTTTTTTTTTTTTTTTTTTTT